GGAAGTGTATCTGGAAGGAGTTGTAGAATGAGAAAGAATATGATAAATATATACTGCATGAAATTATTGAAGAATAAATAAAACGAATAGTTTTATTTTTTCTTATTTATCACTGCATTCAAACATCTGGGTTGAACCTGACACAAATATATTTAACACGTTTCCTGTTCTTCTTTCTGATCCTACTATTCCTCGAACACTGTTACTATGTAAAGGATGCTGACTGATAAATTTATGCATAGCTATAAGCACTTATGGTTCTTAGAATCAGAATCATGGAAGAACTCAAGATTTCCCTTTATATTTTGTTTATAAACAACAAACAAATTACATGGAACTACATATGTGAACAAGTCAATTAAGCTTTGATGGCATTAGAGTCACTGCCAATGAACATGTCAAGCACCTTTGAAACTCTAGTTCCAATGTTTGTTTGTCTTTTGAGACAGGGATTCTGTGTGTAGCAGCTCTAGCTTTCTTGACACTCTCTCTGTAGATCAGGATGGCTTTGAACTCTCAGAGATCCACTTGCCTCCTGAGTGTTGGGATTAAAGGTGTGTGTCACCATTGCGAGTCTCCAATGTTTTTAATGTGCTTACTTCAAGGACAGACATGTGGATGTGATGATGAGGGATGATAAAACGACAACAAAACATATTACATTGGTCTCTACTTCTTGAATTTAACAGCCAAATTCACAAGCTCTAAATGTTCTAGCCACACAGCTGTACTGAGTTTATCCCCATAATGGACCATATTGCTTTCACACAGTTGAATTCCCCAAACTGTTTTTCCAGAATGTCGTAAAATCACTGATTTTTTTAAAAATAAGGAGTAGTAAACAACTCAGATATATTTAACATTTTTCTGCTTTTAGTCCTTCATGAACTTCTTTTCAGAAACATGAAATGCCTGCTCATCTCTTTTCAATCAAGAATAGTGTCTCAATAAATATTTAATTTTGAAATAACAGCTGTGCTTCCTCTGAAGAGACTGTATTTTCATCAGAAATTATCACTAACTCCAAATCTATTGCTTATTCATGGACAGTACTTCTCATTGATTCTCTTTTCATAGAGTTTATAGACCTTTAATTTACTTTTAATCAGAGCATAACAATGCCCTCAGTATCTTTTAATGGCTTCACCTTTTTACTGTTAGCCAGCGAACATACAGCAGCTTCTCAAAGGCAAGTTGGTTAATTACATATAATTCATCATTGTCCTTCATTATGAATTTGTACAAATTTATAGGCAACCTCTAGGGGAGGGGAGTATTTAACAAAGAAGTTGTGATAGAGACATGTTTAATGTATGTGTAACTATTGATATTGCATTGTCATAGAACTAGAAAATCATGGTGATCATTCAGATAGCTCTTTTCTTTCTGTTTGCTTGTGCTCCAAAACTTAACATGCATTTTTGTCACTTGAAGAAAGAATTCAGAAAACCAATGCATACTTTGGTCAACATTCTCAAAAATAATTCTACAATATAGGAGATCCTATTTGTAAATCTCTCCATTTGTTTGAATGTCACTGGGGACGATTGCAGTGACTTTCTTTTTCAGGTTGTAAACGTATAAGCAGAGGATTACTGTTACTGTGTGGTTCATCATGTAAAAGTTTAGCTTTTTTCATTCATTGATTTTTCAGTGCATGTTTATTAACTGCTTCATATGTATAAGACACTTAATTGTGGGCAAAGGGACTAAGGAAGTAAATAGAGTGCTATTCTGCACTTACAACAATACTCTATTTTGAAATGCAGTTTTTAACTGTATATGAGTTCACTAAGTTGTATATAGGTTTTGGTATATGTCGTTTTTATTCATTTGCAATTCTTATAATAAATTTATCAAAAAGCAAAAAAAAACACCGGGGTGATGATAAATAAAAAAGAAAATTATTTTCATTGCACGCACTTAATAAATACTGAAATATGTCTGTCTTTAAAAAATGTAAGATGGCAAGTTAGTCTGAAAAAGTTTCTTGAAAGTACAGGCATTAAGATAAGACTTGAAGAGTGAACAGGAGCTTGCCAAGTCAGAGCAGAGGATGGAAGTGAAGACTGGGCAGGATAACATCAGAAGTACTTCAGGGTTTGAGAAAATAGCAACAAAAGCAGAGAAGAAGCAGCCAGGCCTGCCTGAACTAAAGGGACTACACAGTTTAGAGTAACTGTCCATTTACTATGATGTCTCAGCATCAGTAGATAAGAATGGATCCCTTGATGGCACTTAGATGCTGGAATATTAGCCAGACCATAAAGGGCTCAGATCTGTGTGCAGAAGTTAAGGAAAGATGAGATACACACACACACACACACACACACACACACACACACACACACACACACACACACCCCACAGGAAGATCAGAAGGAAGAGCTGCTAAGAGGTGCCTAGGGTTCATGGAAGCAATGAAACTGGTTTAATCTCTCCATGTGAGAAAAAAACTTCCACTTCTAAAATATTTATGAAGAAAAATTGACAGAATTGGTGAATAGGAGATAGAAAAAGAGGAAGAAATTGAGGTGTTGTTAGGATTTCTTTATCTGTGTAAGTGGTTTGTGATTTGTTTTGGAAAAAATAATTTAGGGTCTGTCTAAAAGAATTCAAAAGTGCTTGGCATGATGGAGCTTCTGTTATGTCTTGCCCATCCAGAGAGTGGACTACTAAATAGACAAACAAATGAGAGGTTTAAGGGTGACTAGTGCAGATTGTGAGTTACTGGCATGCTCCATGGTTAGTTGAACTATGCACAGACAACGCTAATGGAAAAGGAGGAGGTGTGGTGAAACAGGTTGGCTACATCCAGCTACGTTACCTCTTCTTCCTTTCAGGGCTGCGCATGGCTGATATCAGTCTAGCCATTCTTCTTCAATATTGACAACTAACTTTAATATGTAGCTCACTTACATTTTCTCTAATTGAATCTATAAGGTGTTACAGAAGGTTCATTTGACATCTATTCATCTGCTTTGGTGTCTTTTACCAACTTCTAACTTCAGAAATGTGAATATATATAGTGGTGACTATTTCTCTAATATTTACTTTTTAAAATTTAGATTCAAGTGGCCAGGTTTATTAATATCCAACAAAACTGTTCAAGCTGATATTTCCACTGTTGTTTGTAATCTTATCAATACTTCTGTTACTTTCACCTGCTCAGACTTTCTACTCTTATTCTGTATTTCATGCTTAATGATCCTTGTACATTTTGTCTGGGTCATCCAGAGTTTCTGATTTCATCCATTGCCTTGACAATAATCTATCCATAGCTCAGCCAGATTTAGTTTTTTATTTAACAAATATTTATTTTAATACAGTTTAATGTATTTAAAAACATCATAATTTTAATTCCCATAAAAATTTCTATGTCATGACTATTAAGGAAATTTTCTGAAGGAAGGACTTAACAAAAGAGGCCATAGAATTTCCCACTTCCTGTGATTCTTCCTGTGGAGAAACCAACCATGATGCTGTGAGTAAGACCAAATGTCTCAAGCAGACAGAAGTGTGGAGAGGCTCACAAAGAGAAACCTGAGGACCACAGGCTTCCAATGAAAACCCACAGCTGAAATCAGGCATGGAAGTTGACACATGAGTGAAATGAACAAGCGATTTCAACCTCTGGACTGAGCTGTCAGCAGAGGCTTGAGATACTATGGAACCAAGCAAAGCCTTTGATTCTAAAATAAAGTTGGCATTAATTTGATTTTCTTCGTCAACAAAATTAACAACCAACCAATTAAACTACTACACTTCTGAATTTCTCTTTGAATCCTTCTAGTGGCTACTGACAGCCACCACTGAAAAGATTTAGTAAGTCTTTTCTTATCTTTTCACTATCCACTACTATGTGGTTACTCAAGTTTCACTGTAGTGAGAGATCTAACTGGCTTTTCTTGTGGCTGTGACCATGCCCATTTGGGTGTGGTCACAGGAGCATGGTGAACATGTGGAATTTGGCCAGGCTTGTTCTCTTAGTTCCTGTTGTGTCACAGAGAGCATCTGGGTACAGATCCTCAGAGCAGGAACTTTCCGGTCACTGGTTTCTTCTTTTTCCCTCCACTGGTTTCTTATGTGAGTGATTTCAATTTAACCTATATCTAACCAAATCCATTGTATCTTAATCTGTGCATCTATATTACACAGGTTCTATTTAATCAATACCATCAATCTCCTGACTCTCCATGGGTCTCTATACTTACTCTCTATTCAATTATGTGTTAGTTATCACATGTCTTTCTTGTGTTCATTACCTGTGTTGAATTTGCCAGATGTCTATCCTTGTTCTTCAATTTTCTACATTAGCTGTAAACTCTATAGACCGTGTAAAAATTTACTATGCTGAAACAGGGGAACCATATAGTTAATTAGAGATTTGTAAAGAAGAGGGTAGACTGAGTTTAGATAACAAAGTAAAGACATTTTTCTGGAAATACTAAGGTTGTAAGGAAACTTCATTGGTAAAGTTTATGTATTAAAAGGAACCATTAATCCTAAAATTTCCCATTGTAGACATATACCAAGCAATTTCTTTGTACCGCTAACTAATATTTGGAGAAAAGTAAATATGTTTGAACAAAGAAAAAGTCATAACCTCGCATATATATATACATATTTATATATATATAAATAAATAATCAGTATTTTCTCTTGTTGTAAGTAGCTTCATGCCAGCAAAGCTATTTGTCAGCAAGTCAGTGTTGGAGAGGAAAAACTGACCTTGAGGTACTCTGTGAATCTTACCACTGACATTCAGCCTTGCCTTTGCTGATAAAACTGAATTTACATCAAAAGACAAGCAGCCATTATTGCTGGAAGCCTGCTATTCCTGAGATCCACTAAAAGACAGTAGGAAATGTTATCTTCTTAGCACTGCTGTGAGGATCTGTAAGAGCTCTTATTGATGCTGAATACAAAATCATTTAATTGAATATTTGAAACGTCATTTTCCTTCTTTCATGATAGTAAAATGCACTCTTTCTCCTTACCTTGCTGAACAAAGGATCCATACACAAACCACATGGAGTTGTAGAGTGTAGTAGATGTCATTGATCCCATTTGCAATCGTGGGGGATTAAGCCAGTTCAAGAGGTAGACCAGTAGTCCCACAAGAAGCACCGTGCCAGCAATACAGGCCCACAGAGACAGATCAAATGGTGCAAGACAGGCAAACATATCCACTGTCTTTTCTGCCCTTCGAAGTAGGACCCCCACGGAATAGTCCATGTAACGTGTTGTAAAATCAACAACATTCTCTCGGTCTGGAGTAATGGTTAAAGCAGAAATCCCAATGTCAGCTCTCTGAGAAATTGAAAGAGAAAAGAATACATTAATAGTGTAAAAACAATTTGGTTCCTGGCATTTAAATTTGCCTTGAGGGAGAAAAAAAAAACGATGCCTCAGGCATCATCTTAAGCCTCTTTATATAAACTGAACATACTGCAGAGACTTCTTATAGACAAGCTTATGCGTATTATGCATATCTTGCCCCAACAGAGTTAAACAAATTACCTAGTTCATATTGCCAGTGCATGTGGAATCAGTCAGGAATGCCTCAGACAGAGATACACATCAATAAATTGTCTGTTTTTTCCTTACTTCTTTTTATCAAAGTCATCGTTAAATGCACTAGCAAAGTAAAACTTATTAAAAGATTTCTAAGAAAATGTTTCTAAGACATTCACAATTTTATTAGCATGTAAGCTCATAGGCAAGCTATACATTTCCTATTTGAAATTTCTTAACTTTTTCCACTAATATAAAAAAATAGTCTTACCCCAAATTCCCTACAACTTCTGATAGTCGGTAAATGTACTTTTTCTGTTCTCTTTTCAATGTCAACTCAATTTGAAGATTTGTATCTATTTCTACAAAGCCTGAGAAAACTCTGGTGAATGTGTGTAACTGGAAACCCTATCATGAAAGTGACACTGTGAAGTCCCCACACTTCCGAATCAAATTGCATGTGATTCATAGTTTATCTGAAAAGTCCTCTTGGCAATATTTGACAGTGATATTGATTCTTCCTTGGTTTTCAGAATCTAGACTGACTTAATCACTAATATAATTTACATTTTACTAAATACCTCAATTTCACCTCAGATCTGATATGGCCTGGCCCATACTCATGACAGACCATTCAGATTCTCTTTAGCTACTCCTGTTTCAATGTGTGACACATTTTGACATAGTAGTAATTTTTGTAACCTCATTATTTTCTGCTTATGACCCATTTTAATCTGTCATTATTGATTTTCTTTTATAAATATCCCTCCGTCCACTCTTCTCACTGTTCTGTGCTCCAGCTCCCTACATGTCTATCTGAAACTCATTCTTCTTCCTCTCCATATTGGAACTGAAAGTCTCATTCTTCAGAGCAAATTTGATTGCTACATTACAATTTAATGGTTTCAGTGGGTTTGCCTTGTCCTAGGAAGAGGATTCAATCTATAATAGGAGTTTCATGTGTTTTGATGGACAATTCTAGACACTCATCAAAGCATAATCACACTGTGACCTGTTTTTACCAGACATATTTCTGAGGCTGCTTCTATGATGTGAACTGTCTCCTGAAACTTCTTCAAGAAAATTCACATCTAGGCTCCTTATAAGTTAAGCTTTCCATGCCTATTTGACTAGGACAGTAATTATATTTATACCAACAGTTGCCCACACAGCTGATTTTCAAAAAAGTTATAATTTTCAGCCAGGCGGTGGTGGTGCATGCCTTTAATCCCAGCACTCGGGAGGCAGAGGCAGGCGGATCACTGTGAGTTCGAGGCTGGGCTGGACCGACAGCCTCAAAAACAATACAGAGAAACCCTGTCTCGTAAAAACCAAAAAAAAAGTTACAATTTTCAGGTATTTGTGATTTTTAATATCACATGATTCCTCTACCTATTCTTCCAATAGGCAGAAATGTGAGGAAGTACATATATGCTCATACATACAAACACATAGACACACACACCTGGTGCCTATTACCTATTCTTTGACTTCTACAATCATTTTGTTTATCAGAATTTCACATGAACAGTAGTTTTTCCTTGCATTTCCTCCTCCTTATCTTTTGCAGAAAGGCCAATTATGTAGCCCAGAAAATCCCCTTCTTTCCTCTCTTTGTCCAGTGTTGAATATTAAGTACTAGGCATACAGGCATGTACTGCCACATCCAAGTAGAGGAATATTTTAAAGAATCAAAAGAAAATAGCAATTCCATGTTTAGGCATATACCCAAAAGATGTGCATTAATACAACAAAGATGTCTGTTCCACTATGTTCATAGTTCCATTCTTTGTAATAGCCAGAACCTGGAAGCAACCTAGATGTCCCTCAACCCGAAGAGTGGATAGAGAAAATGTGGTACTTTTACACAATGGAGTACTACTCAGTGGAATAAAAAACAATGGAGTCTTGAAATTTGCAGGCAAATGGATGACACTAGAAGAAACCACTCTGAGTGAGGTAAACCAGTTACAAAAAGACAAGCATGGTATGTACTCTCTCATATATGGATTTTAGACATGGATCAGGGGAGTGCCAGCCTACAATCCCACTGTCAAACCTTCATCCAGTGACAGATGGAAGAAGAGGCAGATACCCAAGTTAAACACTGAACTGAACCCCTGGAACCCAGTGACAGAGAGGGAGGAGTGATGAGCAAAGGGTCAAGACTGTGCTGGTAAAACCCACAGAGACATCTGACCTGACAAGGGAAAGTTCACGAACCCTATACTGATGGTTGAGAGGCCAGCATGGGACTGATCCAGACCCCTTGAATGTGGTGTCAGTGAGTAGACCTTGGTAATCTCTGGGGCCTTGGGTAGTAGATCAATATTTACCATGGTATACTAGTGAACTTTAGTAACCTATTCCACATGGAGGGATGTTCTCAGTGTGGACACATGGAGAAGGGCCTAGGCCCTGCCCTGGATGAAATGACAGACTTTGGATATCCCCCGTAGAGGGCTTCACTCTCCCTGGAGAATGGTGTGGGGATTGAGTCAGGGGCCTGAGGCCTGGTGGAGGGGCACTGGAGGAGGAGAGGGAGAGGGAACTGGGATTGACATGTGAAGCAAGTTTGCTTCTAATTTAAATAAAAATTAATTAATTAATTAAAAAGGAGAAAGACAAAATAAAATTTGACAAAGTTTTATTTCAATGATAAAAGCATAGTACCTTGAATAATTACTTGCATATTTGAAGTGTGTTTCTGGGTTTGCCAGTGTTTATATTTTTTATAGTTTTTCTATAGTCACTAAGCATCTCTTATAGCAGGCTTAATGTATGATTAAATGTCATTATGTCTAACATTTAATGTAAAGTGATTTTTCAAATTTTGAATAAGAGTAGCATTAAAAGTATATTATAAGTAAATGTATTCTCAAATCTATCCAAACTAATTGCATAGTTAAAGCAATTTCTTTGGAAGGAGATACAGAGCTTGCATTCTTTCAAGTCATAAAAAGTAGATGATGAACAGCACACAGCACATGGGATATTACTAAAAAGAAACACAACTGGGAATCTTAGAAGATTACATTTAAGAGAATTTGAAAACCATTCACTCCAAACTTAATCAGAAATAAATTGTCACAGGCAACAAATCTTCACCTAGCTTGTTCTTCAATGTGATGCTGTGGTATCACAGGAGAACAAATAACTGGCACATAGTCAGGGTTTACTCTACACCAAGAGCCATATCCTGATAACTTGGTTTTTAAAGTGACTTTGGAGTAACTGAAGATACAGCTTAGTAAGAAAAGTCCTTGGAACAGGAGCTAGAGAACTTGAGTTCAGCCAGCAGAGCTCACAGGAGAAATAAAAAAGCAAACAAACAGAACACAGCCAAGGTGTCGTGCAAATATAATCCCAGCTCTGCTAAGTGGAGACATGCAGATCCCTGGGACTTGTTGCTGAGCCAGCTTGGCTTATTTGTTGAGTGAAGAGACTGTCTCAAAAAAAAACCAAGTGTATAACTTCTTAAATATTATACCTGGACAGGGTACTCACAGAGACAGCTGACCTGAGCTCCTGAGAGCTCACTGCCTCTGGACTAATAGCTCGAGAGCCTGCATGGGATCAACCCAGTCCCTATGCATGTGCTTGTGATAGTTATGTAGCTTGGGATGTTTGTGGGACTCCTAGCAGTAGGATCAGGACCTGTCCCCAGCACTTGAACTAGTTTTTGGCAACCCAGTCTCCATGATAGGTGGCCTACCCTCACCTTATTGGTCCTATCTCAACTTGATATGCGTGCTTTGTTGACTCCCATGGAGGCCTTACACTTTTTGAATGGAGTCTGAGGAGGAATGGATGCAGAGGGGAGGGGTGGGTGGGTGGGGCAGAAGGAGAGGAAAGAAGGAATGCTGTGGTCAGTTTGTAAAAGAAATGAAAAATATGTAATTAAAAAGAAAGAAACTACACCTTCAGTTTTGGCCTCCAAAGGTTATGCACCCACATTTTCATGCACATACATATATGCACAAATTAATCTGGAGTCCAGATCATTTAATTTGGTAGGATATTATGCTAAAGATCAAATACAATTTGCAAGTACTGTTAAATGAGACCCCAGGAAAACATGTCTCTCCTAAGTACTTTTCAATTGGCTTTCAAGTAAAAGCTGGTTTTGTATTTGGCTCTTTAGGTCATTTGCATCCTTCACATCTTTCTTGAATGTTTAAATATTTATATGTCCTCTCTCATGACAACTTCCCTCCTTCACAGCAGGAGGAATGTAAACCTCATTGGTGCCATTATTACAACCAGGTACCTCTTCAGCTCCTTCCACCATGACATCTCATTATTCAAAATGAACACTCACTTTTCAATCAACCAATATTCTTTATATATTTTAATATTTGTCACATAGTTTTTAAGTACTCTGGAACAAGCATTATTGAAGAGAAAAAAAGTTAGTACTCAAATATTCATCCTCTTATGAATACTTAATGGTACCAAAAAAGGATAATTAACTATTTTTTATTCTCTATAACATATCTGTATTTTTTCTGAGAATAAAATCATACTCTTTTCTCTAAAAGTTATCATAAGTATTATAGAATTTAGAATATGCCAAATTCAAATCGTAGAACATTCTTCTCTTAATTTTTGTAAATAATGTTTATAAAAATTCATTTATCACTGGAAAGGAATGTATTAATTTTCCCAAGACACCACTCATCTTGATCAGGAAATCGGACTCTTCCAAACAATCAGTTGTAGGTTTTAATAAAACTTCCCCTGGCAGCCCTACCTTGCTATTATTGTCAATATACAAAGAAGAAACAAAAACATTT